GGAGAGGCTGACACAGTGGTGGGCGGTGGACTTGAGCCGGGAGCTGCCACTTAGCCCCCCTAAGGGCAGACTTCAGGGGACCCTGATGCCAGCTGGGAGGGGGACAACCCCCTGAGCCCCCCTCAGCTCCCCCTTTGCAGTGACAACCTCATCACTTGTATCGGGCTGGACACCATCACTGAAAGTCTCATCTCAGCTTTGCCATCTGCAAGGGGGGATGACACCTCCCACCCGAGGACTGGTCACTAAAGCACCTGGAGTGACACCTGGCAACTTTCCTCCCTCCTTCCTTCCAGGTAGGAGTTTGATTCTCCAGGACTAGAGGGGCCTGGAGGGGTGTCCTTCACTCACAGTCTGGTCCCTGGGCAACGTTCACAGTCCTCTCTGTGTATCAGGCACCTGCTGTGTGCAGGCCCTGGGGCAGGACGGTGCTCGCCTGCTGGTCACCAGCTGTTTGTCTAATCACAAACCTTGCTCCTTACTGCAGGACCCCGGTCAACCCAGAAACAGGCCCCGTCCTGCACCCCGGGTGGACGAGGCCCCAGGCAGGGGCAACGCCTGCAGCCGGGAGACCAGGGCCCCGGCTCCAACCTCACCAGGGGCACGTTGTAAGGGACGTTTTAGGAAGGCGCCCCACACCATTAAGCTCCGTCTGCCAAATCACACCCACGATTTCCCCCACTGACCACTGGCAGGGCCTCCAGGAGGAAGCCCTGGGCAGCAGGGGGGCTGGAGAAGCTCAGACCCAACAGGCCAGGGCCTGTGAAAGGGGAGGCATGGGGTGGGGTGTTCTGCAGGGCCCGCTCCATTTCCAGGGTGAGAGGAGGCGGGGCTGACGGTAAAACTGGGTCAAGATGGCCTTGGATTTGGGCGAGCAAGGCCAGCAGCTGTGGGCGGTGAGGGTGGGAGCACCAGCTCTGAAGGTGGGAAGAGGGCTGGACCTGGGCAGGGCGGTGAGGGCACAGCCCCTCCCGGGGCAGCAGCTGCACCCTAGGCGGGGGGCCAGCAGGCTCTGCCCTGAAGACAGTTCACCAGTTCCAGGTGGGGGGTGGGGACAGACGGCTGGCTTCCCCTGGCTCTGGCTGCAAGTGGGGTCCTGCTGTGGCTCTAAGGGAGCAGGTGGGGACAGCCCCTTCTCCTGCCACGACGACCCAGGCCCCCGGCAGCTCCTTAGTGGGCCCCTTAGCTCTGCTTGGCAGCTGCAAGCCCAGCTGGGCCCAATGAGCACAGGAGGCGGCGAGGGCCGGGCACACGTGCAGAGGCCGCCCTGAGAAGTGCCATTGTGAGCCCGTGTGGGCATGAGCCTGCCTCTCTGTGGCGGTGCGTGTGCCGTGTACCGGGTGCTGGTGGCCCTGGGCCCGCATCATTGCATGCCATCTAGGGACAAATAACTGGCACCACACACCCCCCCAGCACAAAATTGCGAATTTATTCTTCTTCTTGTTAGGAGGCAAAAAAATGTACAGTTACAAGAATCATTTTCCAAACAGAGGTTAGATATGAGCTGAAAAGTGTAAAAAAGGAACACCACTTTACAAATCATTAAATTAAACAAATAAACAAACACGAGACCCAAAGAGCCACCCCCCACCCCATGCCGAGTTCTCTCCTTGTGCAACTCTGCAAAATGCGAACAGAAAATGCCCGTGGAGGTGGGGCCGGGGAGGGGCAGGGGCTGCGGGCGCACGGCGCTGGCCTCCTGCCCTCGGGCACGGTGGTCTCTGGCAGCTGGCTATACCTGGTGGCCCTCCTGAGGCTGGGGGCAGAGGGGCGCCTTTGGGGGCTCCCGTCAGCCTGTGACATGCGAGCAGGGACAGCCAGACCGGGAAGGGGGAATGCACAGGACACGGGGCGGCCACCAGTGCCCAGGCTGGGACCTGCCCCACGCCAGCCTGCATAGCTTCCCTTCTGTCCCGGCCGCCCCCTCCCAGATCCTGACTGGCCCCTGCAGCATCAAATGGTTGATTTTAGTCTTTGCTTAAATTAAAAAATTAAAATATATATACATATATATACTGTACACACAGGACAATAACAGAAGTGTTGGAAGGGGAGTGGGTTAGGAGCGAGGGGCGGCCGGGGCTGTTGGGGAAGGGAGCCGGATTGGGTGGGGGACAAGGCGCGGGGGGGCCGGGTGACAGGTTAGGGGACCAGAGGGGGCGCGGTTTATTTTACAATAAAAACAGGAGTTCAAACCTCAGCAGAACAGGACTCTGAGATCCCCAGAGGGCCCCACCCGACACCAGTGATGAGGGGTGGGCTTGGGGGGGAGGGCGGCGGGGGGCTTCAGGATCACAGGGCGGGTTCCTGGTCCGAGGAGGCGGGCCGCGGTCTCAGCTTCTCCGTGACTTTGAGTGTTGAATA